AATCTACATATGTGTGTGTGTGTGTGTCTTATCTCACTCATCCTTATAACCTGTATCTCTCACTCTCTGCTCTTTGAATTGAGAAAGCTCCTCGGATGAGGAGCGAAACGTCTTCTGTTACAAATAAAGTCCAGTTGTTTTTGTATTGAACGCTTTTTGAATCTGCCTTTTTGAAAACTGAAAAACAACTACGAGAGACGACCCATCACAAAAGGCCTCCCTCCCATTTTTCTTAAAGAGACACGCTGCTCGCTCCCTCACTATCATGAATCCTTTGGTTAAAAAGTCTTATACTGCCATCGAGTGATCATCAAAAGGTACCACACAGAAATTAACCTACTTTTCTTTTAAAATTTGACAACAGTTACTAATCCCAAATTTCAAAGAATATTATTGTTTATCTCAATAATTTCTGAGACAATCGCACAGCAAAATTTGTTATTGTGTCAGGCCTAGTCAGAATGAAAACGGTCATATCTCAGCCAAAAAATGGTTTATAAATTTGGAAAAAATTCATAAATATGTCGCTTCGGCCTATAAGTCACAGGGCATGTAAATTATGCACAAAAACAAACAAACCGCGACTTATAGGCTAAAAAATACGGTATTAATTGAGAAAATAGACATATGAGTACTCTCCTGATGCATGCTCAATAATCCAGGTAGAAAAATCTAAAAAAGTAAAATCTGGTCCTCTGGATGTTCAACAACAAAAAAAAGGAGAAATGTTTCGTCTTTTATCCGAAAGACTTCTTCAGTCTGAGGTGCTGTATTCATCTCAGTCTTATAAATAGCACCTTCTCAGAGTGGATCAACCAGTTTGTTGTTGACAGCCAAAACTAGCTGCTCACATAATAATAATAATGATAATAATAATAATAATAGTTATAATGTATTTAATTTGTAACGCACTTTTCATTAACAAAAACTTCAAAGTGCTACAAAATGCAACTAAAATCAATGATAAAATCAACTAAAATCTGTGATAAAATCAACTAAAATCAATGATAAAATCAACTAAAATCAATGA